ATCATGGATCATAGACTACAGTTTGATCATGATTTCCAATGGGATAAGGTTAAAATTTTAGACAAAGAACCTTGTTATAGGAAACGCTTAATTACCGAGATGCTCAACATTAAGAAGCAGAAAAATAGTTTGAATTTACAAACGGACACTGAAGATCTTCATAAGGCATATTTATCCATTGTAAATAAAGTTTGACTTTTTTGATACTGACGGACCGTCTCTGTTCTCAGTCCGTGGTGATCCGTAACAGCGAACATGCACAATAGTCGATACACAATGTCCAGTTTTCACGTCTACGTTCCACTTTTCTTTATGTATTTCAATAACTATTCGTTATACTTATATGGACACACTTGTTTGAATAATTTACACATGCTTTTTGGTGAGTTTTTTTATTTCTTATCAGGATTTCGGCTGTTAATTCATTTGCGTTTACTTTCTCATAAGAAGTCTTTTTTTCTTGTTTTATCAACTAGAACTTTTTCAAGACATATGATACATTTTTGACTGAAACAATCGTACGCTAATAATGTCGAGTTTTATATCAAAACTCACCTGAACTGCGAATACTATGAATTTGCAAATATTTGCGATAATTATTTTGTACTACCGTTTTTTCCGATATTGTTTACGTCTGAAGAGGGCTCAATCCGGTAGTCGAAACTTGTTACTGAGTTTTTAATTATTTTATATTTTATTTTTATTTTTATTACAATATATTTTTCTTCTATTTTACTTTTCTGTATTTGTATCTTATTCTTTTAATTGTTCGACTTTTTTAAAGAAACGTGTTGACTCTTACTTTGCCCTTTATTTATTTTGTAATATAATAATTATAAAATATACATAAAATTTATAATTGGCAATCACAGAAGTATAGATATAAAATATTATTACATAAAGTTCTATTGTATAATATTTTTAAAGTAATACTCGTATTTTTAAGGCATCCACGGATGCTTTTTATATATGTTAAAGATTATGTGTTTAGCGGGTTTTCTCCGTGTCCAGATCCAGTAGTAGAAGTATCAGGCTGCCCCTCGCCCTGATGAAGTGGATTGCAAGATTCACGAAACGTTGGCATTTCAAGAATGAATCTGGACACGGTGAAAACCTGCGAAAAGCATAATCTTTATATTTTTGAAGTATAATATATTTATCTCGATTTTATATATTGTAGATTCGCTAGCATTTGCCAAAGTGCGAATGGTTCCCATAGTAGAACCGGAAATATTGAGTAATGGCAAATATGATATAGATCGGGCTTTGCACGAAGAGATGTTGTCCATCCAGTTTCGTGCTTTGGATATCATGTGTATCTAGAGGGAATGGTTTTGGAACCGATGGTACTGTCGGATATAAAAAACGCAATAAAGTACACGTCGCAGATATCATTTCATTTATTTTAATAGAATATAAAGCGAATTATAATCTTTCTCTAATAATATATTTTTACTGAATATATTTGCTCTTAAACATTATCGCGATCGTAGATTGTTGCTAAGTATACGCTAAGAGCATTACAAAGAACAGTACCCATGACAGTTCCAGCAATTTTTTTTCTAAGCGGTGATCAAACCGATGAAAAAGCTGTATTAAACGCCATTAACGCATGTGATAATAAAATGTCATGGAAACTTAGCTAGGATTCTGCTATGGACGTGTTTTAAAATTTAGGTGTCTTAAAATTTATTTAAATCTAAATAGAATTTGTTGTATTTACTGATATATATATATATCTATTAATTCACACATTGATAAATTTTAAACTGGTAAAAACAATTCAATAAATTCTACTTATTACCTGCTTTATTAGAACACGGCAATGAAAATTTGGAAAAACAATTTGGAAAATGTACATAAAGCTCAAACAAGCTTCTTAAAAAGGCTCAATTATGCTCCGAAGCATCTTTGGGAAAATTGCGAGTTGAAGACAATATGCATTCGCTTATGAATTAAACAAATATTATTTAATTTCCTCTCTTTGTAATTATATAGCACATTCATAAAATTTTACAATTGCCAGAAAAATTAACATGATACGAGTATTTTAAATATGTGTACATATATACGAGTATATTTATACATATTTAAAGTACCCGTATCATGTTAATTTTTCTGGCGATTGTAAAATTATATATATATA